CTATTCCCCTGGACATCCTAAGGTCTTCTGCGACACCATAGCGAGCTTTTTACCGCTCGAATATAAATATATGAAGTCTTCAAAAAGCAACTCGTCATCGGCGCTAAGGGTTGTATAACAACTAGGTCTCCAGGTTGAAATCCTCCATTTTCCGCCTTGACGTCATATGCCTCTTTCATTCGATGGCACTCTGGATGTTTAAAAGAACTCGGCTGTGAATGTCGTTCATTTTCCTACGTAAATTGCTAACGTAATCTTCTCCAGCAATGTCTTCCCCTGGTAGGCAACCAAACCTCAGGTCACAAGGTAGACGAAGTTCACGTCCCATAACAATGCTAGCGGGTGTCTGGCCGGTTGTATCGTGGATAGAAGAACAGTACGCCAACAGGAACGGATGGAGGAAGCGGTCCCAGTCTCTTTGGTGATCAGAGACTACCTTGAACAGTAGGGTGATGCAAAAAAAAAATTTTTTTGAATTCTATGCGAGACCACTCGGGTTTTCAAAGAGTATCAAGAAAAGAAAAATCTGTAAAAATTTGAGAGAAATCAATTAAAATTTAGAGGTCGCTCAACGCAATTGTTTAATTTAGAAAAATCACGCATCTCAAATGCATTGCTATAAACAAGTAGGCATATTTCATACAAATTTGAATGAAAATGGTTGAATTTTTTTTTGGTGGACTCCTAATGATTATTCTAATAAATAATGATGTCCCGATTTCAAAAAATTGTTCAAAATATTTAAAAAATATATATTAATTAGCAAATATTGCTTAGTTAACAAATAATTCATTAAATTTTTTTTTGTTTTAAAATCTGTAAAAACATTGTTAATAGGTCTACAAGCAATTATTCATTCACAAAAACACTCGCCCCCATCGTTAAATATGAGAAAAAAAATAATATTTTAATTAACTACACTTCGAGTCAAATTTAACGCACCACTAAAAGTTTGTCACATTTTCAAAGTTGATTTTCTCGCGAACCGTCAAACCGAATTTAGTGAATTTAGTTTATTGACATTTGTTTAATAAAAAAATAGTAGTATTTTATGCCAAAAAGCCTATGTTTAACTTTAAAAAAGTCTAAATTACGTATTATATCTTTTGTTATTGATAAAATAAAAAAAAAAATTCTACATTAAAAAAAACAATAAAAAAGTAATAACTCCATTTAAAAAACATTTATTAATTAAATTACTTTTAAAAGTAATATTAAAAAAAAAAAATTTCAAAATAACAAAACAAAACAAAACAACCTACATAAAATTCTTAAAACAAAAAAAAACTAAAAACAAAAAATAAAATATTTAAAAATAACAAAATAAAAAGTCTTACAATTCTTAAAAAAAAATACATTAAAAAATAAAAATAAAATCATTTAAATAAATATAAAAAAGTAATATTTAAATAAAATAATAGTATATTATAGAACTAATGTCATAAGACGTCATTTTGCGCGGACAATTTATAAAACGAGCGACGAAGGAGCGAGTTTTGTAATGGACGAGTGCGACAAAAGGTCTAATGACATGAGTTCTTTATGCTATTTTATCTATTTTGCAATAATTCTTTTTTTATTTTATACCTATTTTATTTTTATTTTATACCTTAAATTTAATTTGGTCGAATTTTAATTTAGATAGTTGGTATCACAGTCATTGGTTTGACAGTTAATGTCAAAATCGATTCGCCATGCCGTACTTAATTTACTTATTTACAATAAGCGGCTATTAATGTTAAAGAAGAAAAAAAGGATTTTATTTGGTGTTAAACAAAATTTATTGCCAGAAAAGTCCCTTAAGTACTAGAAAAATTATAAAAATATTATGACCAATATGCAAAATATTATGCTTTTTAAAGTATAGCCAACCTATAAAATAAAAATTTTGGGTGGGATAAGTATCTCATTACAGCACCGAAAGCGGTGTTATAATGAAGTCATTATAAACGCCAAATAGATAAAATATTTTAAAATAAGAAAATAAAACAACAGACCCAAAATAAATAAAATCTAAAAAAAAAACAAAATATTTAAAAATAACAAAATAAAAATTCGTAAACAAAAAATCTAAACCCGTTTAATACTTTGTCCACCCCCCATTTGCGTCCATAACTGCCTGTAACCGCTGGGCCATGGATGCTACTAGATTTTGGCAGTAATTGTGATGCCGCAGTTTCTTTCAGACCTGCATACAGTGAGCTTGCAAGGCCTGAGTGGTGCGCTCATGCCTGTGGTCCCACATTTGGACCATCAGCCCCCAAAGATTTTCTATTGGATTTAAATCCAGAGACTTTGGGGGCCATGGAATACGGTTTACATCGGGGTGTTGATTAAGCCATTCTCTGACAATGTGCGCACGGTGTATTGGGCAGTTATCATCCACAAAATCAATAACAGGCCATTCCTCTGCTGAATACACCACACGCACAGTTGGCAACATGACTTGGTCCAACACCTCGAGGTAATTTTGTGAATTGGCCCGACCAGGAATTGGCACAAGCTCTCCTGGACCAGCGGTACTCATCCATCCCCAAAAATTGGCACCTATTCGATCTGAATTTGTATTAGGAATGATATGTTTTCATCATACCGAGTAACATTACGACGCCTAAGTTGTATTCTTCCATGTTGTGAAGATTTAAAAGATTTTTCGTCGGAAAAGGAGACGTTTTGCCCATCGAAATTTAAATAATTTTTTGCAAACGCCAATCTTGCTTGTTTATTTATTTCATTTAAAGCAATCTTACGGGCAGGACGGCAATTATAAATGCCTTCCTTATGTAAGGCCTTTCTAATTGTCCACGTTGAAACGCCAAATTCTGTGTCAAAATGAGAGGTCTTTTTTCAGGGGAGTTACCCTATTTTTTGGGCAAAATTTGTAACCAACTTATAAAATATAAAAAAATGGAATAAAATATTTATAATTAATAAATAATGAAATAATTAGGTAATTAAGTACCGTAAAACGGTGATAACTTTTTGGAATATTTGAGCCCACCCGCCATCAATGTGACGATTTAATTGAAATAAAATAACCTTTTTTTTTAACCCCCTCGTCTTCCAAGAAATAAATATACAGAGTGTTTCAATAAAAACTCCCAGGCCAATTATTTCGAAAACTAAAAGTGACATTTAAATTCTGTAAACGCCAGTTTTTAGCCTCTATGATTGGCTTCACAACTGTGTGAAAAATGTTTTTGAATAATACAAGATGTAGGTGGCGCCACTGTGCAAAGAATTTTTTCGATGGCAGCTACTTTTAAATTAATTTTTGATCAAATTATGTCCCATACAAATTTTTGATAATTCGACATGAAAGATATTTGGGGTTAAGTTTTTTTTTAAATAATTTTAACGAGTATTTTAATTATAAATATTTTTAATATGCTTTAGCAGATGATCATATAACTCTGGTAATCATAATTATAGTGATAAAACGCTAGTGTAGCGCTAACTAGATTAAAATTATTACGTCCAGTGACGCCTCAGGGGGCCCCTTAACAAATAATATTGGCAAAAAATAATACGCCACTGAGTTTTTGGTAATTTTTATATTTTTATTCGGACTAAGCAACTAAAAATATCCTTTTTTTGTCTGTTAAATTGTTTTCATATCTTCCTTCGTTTTCGAGAAATACAAATAAAACCATTTGGAAAACAAAAATCATTAAGAAACAAAACCATAAATTATTAATACGCTATATTTTTTGCTGTTTAAAAACAAAGGTAAAACATTAAAACATAATAAAATAAAATTAAAGGATGTTTTAAATTTTATGAAAGAGTGGTGAGAAATTATAAAAATTTTTTAAAGAAAATTAGATCAATACCAAAAACTAACTAATAAGGTCGAACGAGGTATTCAAAATTATTGCCGTTTTTATACACATAATATGTGTATATATATATATATATATATGTGTATGTGTATATTATATCAAATTATTGTTGTAATGTTATTATTAAAGCCTTCGCATTCTCTAAATTAGAAACACTTCACCTCTCAATAATACAACCTCAATATTAGGGTGATTCAAAAAAAGCCTTTTTTTAAAAATGAACCCGCACTGGCCTAAATTATAAAGATTACATTAAAACTAAAATATTGATACCAAAAAATCCAAATTCGATGAATATTTAGAGGTCGCTCAAATCAATTTTCGTATTTTTGCACATTCGAGCCGCGAAATTATTACTGCACAAAATAGTAAATAACTCCGTTAGTTTTTAATCGATATTATTAAAAATTTAAGGGTTACCTAGTTTTTTAATACCCTCTGAGACAATTTATTGAACTTTACAGAAAAAAAAATTTTTTTTCATGAAAAAAAATTATTTGTTAATAAAAACGTATCATCTTATAAAATAAGCAACAATTGGAATCGCACTATGATGGTACCGTAAAAAAACTAAGAAAATAACACTTAAATTATTTTGCATACATAAAACCTGCCGAAAGAAATATTTTATTTGAGTCGTTTTTTCGCGTAAATACCATGAAATACTATGGTTATTAAACTTAACCTTGGTTAATAGTTAAGGCATTTTTGCGTTTAGAGTGCTGTAATGTTCCTTGATGGTATGTCTTAAACTTTCATACTTTTTATATAATTATCACCCTTTTATATAATAGATGAAATAAAATAACTTTTCCTTCCATAGGTGACTTTATTGGTCAACGACTCGTGTCTGTCTACAATTGATGACTACTTTATTTTTATACAGGTTAATTAATTTTACAGCATAAAGTTGAATAATATTAATACAAAAATTGCTGATAGCTAATATTTAGCAGGAAATCGATTAACTTAATAATCGGGCTTAACAACCTTAAATATGATTACATTGCACCTCCCTCGGGGCGAAAAGGAAAAAAAAAGAAATTTTTTTTTTCATTTAAAATATGGCTTAATTCTATTCTTATGTACTTCCATTAATTTATTATAATAATTATTTATAGTGCAAAAACATTTAGATATACCTTTTTGTTATTCCAGGAGTGCACTGGATCAATCTGCTTGGCATACGGCTTGGAATCCTGCCAATGTTTACCAAAAAGAGGAGACCTGAAAACGAAGGCCTGCGAACTTTGCTGCAAACTTCCAGGCGACAATCAATCCTGTCTATCGTCGTTTAATTGGAACGACATGCCCTACGACATACCAGACATGTATTCAAAGCCCGGAACGCCTTGCAACGACTACAACGGATATTGCGACGTGTTTCAGATGTGCCGGGAAGTCGATCCATCCGGACCACTGGCCACCTTAAGAAAACTTTTGTTGTCTGAAGAAAGCATTGCTAGTTTTAAAAAGTGGGTTTTGGAGTACTGGTACGTCGTGGCAGCCGTCATGGCTTCAGCTATAATGTTGCTAGTAAGTTTGTAATTGATTGTTGATCTATATTTTATATATCGTTATTATTTCATAGATTAAAATTATTTTAATAATAAATGAATACACGAAAAGTAAGTAAATTATTGCCAGAAACTTTAGTAGCTTTAAAAGTGTTGTGTCTTCAAGTCAATGTATATCTTAGATGAATATATCCCCACTTAAATTTTGCTTTGTATATTGGCATTATTAAGGCAACGTACAGTAGAAACCACGAATATATGAACGTGACTCATCCGACACATTCGTACGAAGCAATCTATCGAAGGTCACGGTCCAGTGCAGTCCTGATTGTAAAAAATCTTGAGTGTAATGTTGGTTGCTATACTTATGATATATTTGCTTTTAAAGTTAAATAATTGACATCTAACATATTTAACATCTACGATAATTAAATAAAATGTAATTTTCTTAGAAACTAATTAATAAATAAACTTTTCTTTTAACTTTAATGAAATATTCTATCATCTGATGACAGAACGTACACTCGTGGCGACATCTCTGTTTTTAATATCTAACAAATTTTTAGACCGATCCAACCTCACTTTCTTCCAATTAAATTCTTTGTCTATGGTATTTTTTGGAAACGTACAAAAAGTATAGTCTGAAACACGTTTGGAATTGCATATTCCCCTCTCGTGAAACCGTCAAACTTGTTAGAGAATATACTATTCTTTTAACTGTAAACGCAAATATTTCAGAATTGGCGACAAAAAACAAAAATGTTTACGCAGGTCAGGTACAAAGTGAAAGATATTTAAATTGTGTGGATATAAAAACAACTTGCGTTAGTTTCACGAAATTTATTAAATATTGACAATTGTTTCGCTACACAGTAGCTTCTTCAGAATGTATTAAACTAGTACTAGTACAAAATTTATATAATAAAAATATTTTTGTATTCTAGCCTAGAATTTCTAGGTAAGGATTTTTATACGACATCTACCTGTGTTACATAATATAAACCACTGCCACTACAACGTTTAAAACGATTATTAATCCGTAAACACACACCGTTTATTTAAAGTCCAAAAAACGTACAATAACAATTGCAATAAAGTCCAATAAACATGCAATAACAATTGCAATAAAAACCACTAGCACTACAACGTTTAAAACGATTATTAATACGTAAACACACAGAAGAAACACGATATGAAAAAACAAAGATCATATGACATATAAAAACAAATGGCCGACGGTAAAGTGGGTTGCCTTACTATGTAATAAAATAAAATAAATGCCGTCATATGTCCATCTTTGTCCAATACCTAGGCAGTTTTACATCACAGATGGCGCATTTTAGACCGGATGCTTAAAAACCTACGTGTGAGTACATTTACCGCTGCATCGAATGTACAAGACAATTCCCCGTCAATTCATAAACATACAAACAAAAACAAAAATTTCTTTAAATCCATTATGGAGAAGATCTTACACAAAAAAATGTTTAAAGAAGTTCAAAGTTGATCTTAAAAAAATTGACTTGGGCTTTTTTGAGGATGGTAGGTACTCAGCTGAATATCTGTCTGAGTGTTTGGTATCAAAGTACAAAACTCTAATAGAAAAACATTTTCCCCTAAAAAAATGTCTTCAAGAACTTAAACCACCAGTTAAGTGGTTTACAAAATCACTCAAAAGCATGAGAGAGACGCTTTCCTGTCTAAAACTCATTGCAGAAGTTACATGCAACACATGATTTATTTATTTCGAATTCGAGAAACAAGTCAAAGGACTGCTGGAGACTTGTCAATCATGAACGAAATAAAGTAAAATCCACTAAAATAAATAAGTCTATACCTCCAGACACTTTTAATAACTTCTTTGCCACTGCGGCTGAACAAATCATAAAATCGCTACCTAACACTCAGACAAATGGTGCTCGTGACATCCTCAGGGACGCTTTAAATAATAAGGGTCCAAAATTATTTTTTATGGCACCTGTAACTTCACAAGAGGTTAAAAAAACCATTGGAAGATTGAAAAACTCAGGTAGTATAGATATACATGACATACACTGTGTATTGATCAAGGAGACAGCCGATATTATTGCTGATCCTTTGGCTAGTCTTTACAATAAATGCTTACCAGAGGGGTCTTCCCCACCTTATTTAAAATATCTAAAAAACCCCGGTTTTTAAAAAGGGTGAAAAAAGTTCGGTCGACAATTACCGCCCCATATCCATCGTCCCCTATTTTGGGAAAATATTTGAAATTATTATGAAGGAAAGGTTTTACCAATTTTTGGAAAAAATTTTGAGTAGCTGTCAGTTTGGATTTAGAAAAAATGGCTCAACTTTTTATGCTGTTTTTAAAGTTGTTCGCCATATAGTTGAGGGCATTGAGAGAGGGGATTATGTCACCATAACGCTCCTAGATCTCTCGAAGGCATTCGATTGTGTGTCCCAGACAGTCCTTTTGGAGAAGTTGAGTCTCTATGGCGTAAGAGGAATTCCTTTATCTCTATTTAAATCATATCTCACAAACAGGTCAGTGTGTAAGTATAAATAACAAATTATCAAGTATGAAATCGGTGAAGCATGGGGTGCCCCAGGGCTCAGTAATAGGTCCCCTTCTCTTCATTGCTTCCTGATCATTGTTTTGCCTTCGCAGATGATACAACTACCATTAATAGTCAAAAGAGCCTGGACAGAGCTCTTCAGCTTAGTCTAAAAAGTGAAATTAAAGCATGAGATTGGTTTTCTCTAAATAATCTTAAAATGAACACCACAAAGACCCAGAGACTCACAGGGATTACTCTAGAGAATCGCAAGAGAGTGCAATTATTGGGCATCACTCTTGACAACAGACTGGACTGGTCTTGCCATGTAAAGCAGCTATGCAAAAAGTTGTCTTCCACAGTTTTTATTCTAAGACAAATAAAAAAATGACATATTTCTCTCTCTTTCATTCGCATTTAAGTTATGCGACGATTCTCTGGGGAAACTCCAGCTATGCTGTTGCAGCCTTCCGTCTTCAAAAGAGGGCTATTAGACTATTATGTAATGTGGGAAACAGAGAAAAATGTCAACAGCTGTTTATAAAAAGGCGTAATGCCCTTACCAACACTTTACATATATTTGACATTATTAAAAATACATAGAGAAAAGAATCAATTTACTTGCGGCGGAGACATTCACAGTCACGATACTAGGGGCAAATCACAAATCAGAATTCCAAAATATAGACTCTCCAAAGTTTCAAGAAACTCACTAAACATTAAATTATAGAACGTATTACCCTCAAGATGCAAGGCTCTCAACTAGGGATGCACCGGAATTCCGGCGGTACCACTAAATCCGGCCGATCCGGCCAGTTGGACGGAACTACGATCGCTCCGGCCGGATCGCTTTCCAGATATATTTTGTAATTGGTCAACAGTAAAGGGTGTGCGTGTTTCCTTGCCTATGATAGACCGGCGGCTGTGGTTCCCCGACTTCTTTTTAATTTTTTTATTATTGGCAGGTGGCTGCTATTCTCCAATTGAATGAGTAGAATTGTTTTAATTTTGTTAACGCTAATTAAAAATTAATATTTAAAGAAACAGTAATTTATATCTAGGTAAAATTAATAGTAATAAATACTCTGCATACTGTGGCTAGTTTAAAAAAAAGTACAAATAAATCAGCCTCAATATTTTCAACGTTTTACGTATAAAAACAGGCATGCATGCATGCATTTTAAATTTAGGTCCAGATCCGGCCGGAATTCCGGCGATCCGGTTCGGTCAGCGGCCGAAATTCCGGTTCCGGCCGGATCGGCAAAATACCTGATCCGGTGCATCCCTACTCTCAACTATGTAAAATTTAAGGCAACCATAAAGGAAACCTTGCTCACTTACTGTTTTTATTCTGTAGACGAATATGTCATAAAAATGGGTCTTTCAGACTTTCATCAGCGTTTCTCTCTCAATTAAACTCTGTGATATTATGTAATGTGTATGCTGTAACTTGTATGTTGTATGCCTTATGTTATTTACAAATTTATGTCTATATGATATATTTATGTTATATTTATTTTATCTTGACTTGCCAAAAATGTTAAATGTAAACATAATGATTTGATTTGATTTGATTCATATTAATCATTAAAAATATCAAACCATCATAACAAAAGTAATGCGCATGTCCCATAGCCGGCACGAAAGTTGAAGTCAAAGTCGAATTCGACTTAAGTTTGCAGCTTGCAAAAAATTTTGCCCACTTCAACTTCCACTTTAAAGTCGAATTTTATTGTGAACGATCACTTTCGCTTAGATTGCGAGCCAAAGTGCCAGCGAATTCATTACGAATGTAACTTATCTCTTATTTTGTTTCTTAAAAATAAACATTAATTTTACGTAAAATAAGAAAAAACCAAATTTGCATAAACGTAACTTTACGTTAGTGAATGGTAGTCAATATTTCTTATTTATTTTTATTGCTGTATAATTTTTCACATAGCATTAGTTAGATTAGCCTGTCCCCCTATTTAAGATTATTCAAATTAAAGAGGTGCAAATCATAAGTTACCAAAGTTTACCGATACTTTTTAAAATTTATTTAAAAAATCCAAGAATTACAGATTTTATACCATACCGATGCATTTTTTAAATTGGTTTCTATGGGGCATTTTCGGCAGGGTATAATATTGTCCAGGACTATTTATTAATGGTCAGTAACTTGCAAATTTAAATAAGAGAAAGTTTCGTAATTATTGTTTATCTTTTTTAATCCAAATGGTTGCTATTTTCAAAGACCGGAAAATGAACTACTAAATTTTTCACGAAAAGGTTGAACCTAACAGCAAATATTTTTTTTACAAATAGGTTGTCATTTTTTCATTGATATCATTGCTTGCAACAATCATTACTTAATCAATTTATGAATATTTATGCATTTTCTTTTTAAATACTTACTTTGGTAATTTTCTTTACTTAAAAAAATAAATAAAAATCGTTCGCCGGAAATAACTTTTATTTTCATGTAAACATCATTAAAAAA